ATTAAATTAAAGTATAATAGAATAGTTAAAATAATATAAAAAGTTAATTTAGATTATTTTTTATTTAATATAAAAAAATTATAAAGATTGATTAAAATCTGAATGATTTTTATTAGAAGTAACTATTAATTTTTATATTGAAATACAAATCTTTTTGCACTAATTCATATAAAATAATATAATATAATATGACATGAGAGTATAATATAACATATCTTTATATCAAAATTTTTTTTACTATATATTATAAAGGGATGTATGATTATTTATAGAAGATATATAAATAATAACCAAACAGTTTACAAGATTATCATGTAATATATTATAATTAAAGCATTATTTTAACAGAATCTGATATTAATAGCTAATCACATGATTCAGAGATTTCTGAATTGATCATTTAAACTGACTGATTAATTAACATCTTTACATATACTAATCAAACACAGTAGATTTCATTTTGGAGAAAACCAGACAAAAATTACAAAGTTATAATTTACTTTTTTTTTTGTCCAAAAGCAAAAATATGAGTTTCTTCAAAAAAATATCATTTCTGATTATATTTTGCCCATAATTTATAAGATTGGTGAACTAATTGAGAATAATAAATTCACATGCAAAACTTGATTAATAAATTGCCAGTTCAAATTTTTTGTACAAAATTCATCAAAAAATCAAAGTTTTGTTAAGCAAGTCCAGACTGAGTGAATAAGAAAAAATATCACATGTAATTTTAATATGATCTTAATCAACTTACCATAATTTGCCATTTAGAATACTTTCCATAGTATCATATACTGTATTCAGTACAATATATGATTATAAAATGGATTAGAATTTAATATAATCCTGATCAAAACAGATTACTTCTGGCTGAACTATCATTTCTAAATATTGAATGGTGCACCCACCCAGATATAAATTAGATTTTAAGTCTATAAAAGTGTAAATTTGACAAACAGAAGAGACCATCCTGAATTATACAAAATTTCTCTGAGTTATGGTCACATGTTATAGTAGTGATAGCTTAGTATCACATGTTAATTAACTAAATAAATCAGAACAAAAAATGAAAAAAAATATGACATCTTAAAACTAACTTAAAGATGCCAATAAAAAAACCTTAGCATATAAATCTTCAAGATGAAGAGTCTCTGATTAACAGAATAATATAGATAAGGAAAGTTGTTAAAAGATACTCATAAGTTTAGGGAGAGAATGGCTCTAAAATTAGGCATGTTGTGAAGTTTTGAAGATTAGATTCCGAATTTTTTTTACAATAATTTTCTTCAGCTTAATTTAATAAGTATAAATATTTATAAAACCATTTAAATTTGATACTTTTAAAATCTTAAAATTTATTACTTTAATTCATAATGATTATGATAACATGTATATAATTATGATAATGTGAGTTTAATAATTTGGGCAGGATAATAATAATGGTAGAAAAAGGTAACTATATGAAATATAATATCTTTAATGATTAAGCTGAGCAAATTTTTATATAAATCATAGTTCTAAAAATGATTTTTTTGCATCATCTAATTAATTCTTTATTTCTACTACATCACCTGTTACCTTCTCTGCATTATTCAAATCATCTTCAACTAGATCTATATTATTTGTATTAATAGATTCACTTTTAACCTTTTCCTTCTTCAAATTTATTAAACCTATTATCAATATGTTAATATTTGTCTTGATCTCATTCTGTAAATAGTGTAAACATATAAAGCACTTGAATTGATATCTTTGCAAGTAATAGCTATAATAACCATGTCTATATACTAGAACATTACTATTAACAAAGTCATTAGTATGATCACAATATATATAATCACATAAAATAGATATGTTGGGTTTTCTAGCAGTAATAAAGCCTCTTGGAAGATAGTGATCAGTTATTTCATAACCTAATAAAGAGAGTTTATATGTATTAATATTAGATGAGAACTTAATAATTAAAGGATATTGATTACATATTTGATATATCTTTATAAACATCTCTAAAAGTTTGATAGCATACTTTTGAGAAAGTATTCATAATTATTTTGGCATATATGGATACTTTATGGAATGTATAAAGTATTGTTAAAAAGAATTATCATGTTATTGCTGAAAAATAAAATGTGCTTTCTTTTGTAACTATTCAGCCATAATAAATTTAGCTGTATATCTTCGAATAATACTATAAATATTTTCTACAGGATAATCACTCAATGCAGCAAGATGATTAGTAAGTAAATTAACTATTAGATAGTTCATTTCCATTTAATGAAAAACATCAGAAAAAAATATTAAAGAAGTGCATTTGTAGTTTCTTTGATCAAATTAAAAAAAAAGATCATTCTAATAATATATATACATCTCTTCATAAGCTGGCCAATCATCCCCATGGTGATATACTGCATAAATATCAAGAACTAGAAGAATTAAATTACTAAAAAGATCAGTTAGATATAAAACTTCAAGATTTTTGTATGTATAGTCAAATTTCAAATAAATAGTATCAACTATTTCAAACTATACCAAGCATATGATATGTAAAATTAAATCAATTCTCCATGGTCATGAACTCTTATCAAGATCCTTATTCTCTCCAAATATATTTTTGTAAATATCATTAAATAAATGTGAATTTTTTAAGAAAATAAGTTCACAAGCATTTAAAGATACATGAAGAGGGCTTATTATAGGCAAAAATAATGTTATAAATGGAGAAATTCCTTCATTCTTAACAAGAAGCTGTTGTGCAAGAGTCTTATAAATAAAATACTGGTCAGGCCAGTCTGCAATAACTGAAAATACATAATTAGAAAGATATACTTGCATTGGTTCTTGAACATATACAATTTGAAGTATATTTATATATCTATTCATACCTTTTAAGCTGCTTTTAACAAAATTGAAAAGGATAGAATCACATATATGCTGATCATTTTTTTTTGTAATCCTATTATTATAGTTATATATCATTAAACTATTTATAAGCTCTTTATCAGAATATTCTCTTATATAATGTCATATATGATTATAATAAGAAATACCTAGATTTATGATAAACTGATTATCAAGATGTCTTGCAATTATTTCACTATCCAAAAACTTTGGATTGAATATTCCATTATGTGATATTGCTTGTATTAAACATGGATTTGCTAAAATTATTATCATATGTATTGTCTAAGAAGTTTCAGTATTATTAGATTGCCATTGAATATGAATATTATAATAGTCATCAATATTTAACATGAGAATACTTTCTGAATATTAGCTAAGAGTATTTTTTGCATATTCTTCATGTACATTAGATATTTTTTTTTATTACGATCTACTGTCCTTGATGTTGTGGTCACTCCAAAATTTGCCATAGTATTCAAGTCTTTGTTATTAATTCCTAATAAATCTAAATAATATGCTAAATCAAGTTTGAAAGAGTTAATTTTCATATTATTTAATGAAGCAAATAGATAACAAATAAATACCATTATCTTCTTCATATGATTCATCATTTGATTATTACATTCAGAAGGCCAAGCTGCTAAATAAAGTTGCTGAAAAAAATCTTTCAGAATAGGTTTACTTTCTTCTAATAATTCTCACAGTTCATCAAATGCATAAATAGGATCTTTTTTCTTTACTTGCTCTCTTTCATAAAGAATTTTTGCCATCTTTTTAATAACTTCAGAAAGAGCAAGCTTTATATTAGATATACTTACCTCTTCATTTATATTAAATGTACTTACCTTCTCATTTGTAATCTTTTTTCACTTAAAACCTCTTTGCAATGGATTTTCTACAAAATGTATATAACATGAATTACACAAGATAATACCTTCTTTCTATGTTACCTTTGCTAGATTATTATTTTTAACTTCTCTTCACTTGTCTTCATTTAATGGTTGAAATCTGGTTGATTCTTCAACTTGACATTTGATGCACTTCTTTTTCTCAGACATGTTAATAATTGTTGGATTCAAATGGATTCAATGTATAATATTACTCTATAGTGTAAAAGCTTCAAATTTATTTAGTACTTTTATGCATCTTTCATAGTTAAAATGAGTTACGTAATCCTTTTGAAAAAGTATTGTAAGACATATAAAAAAATTTTTTAATATATTATATAATAGTTTCTAAAAATAGGTACAGTCTCTCCTGTTGATTTGACATGGTAAATTTAATTTTTCCGTCACACATTGATCTTGCGATTTTATTGGCTTACCCTGAAAAAATCATAAGATCAGTATGCAGTCATGCATTTTTATGAAATTTCAAAAAAATAATTCTCTCTTGTCTGAGCTTATCTTGTCAAAATCCAATCCTAAATATGGTTGATTTTTCAAAAAGTTAACATTTCCATACATACCTACTTTTACCTGTATTTTAGTCTAAATTTAGACCACAGGTAAATACTCTGTTCGACCAATAACAATTGTATCTGGTTCTATGGGTGTTCCATAGGGGAGTGCGACTGCATTTAACATAAACATCAATTTAACATTTTACATTTATTACAGTGATTTATATATAGAAACTCCATAGCAATCGTTTTCCAATTCAAGAACTTAATGAATGATTTTAAATCTAATCTTTTTTTTATTGTTATTAAAAACAATCATTGTGGTGGCTGGCGCTAAATCATTTTTTCTAAAATTGGGACGTTTCTACATGTATATGTAAATGATCTACAAAAGTACATGGATTGTTTTACATGTATCATTTTTTCTAAATTTAGACTGTTTTTGAGAGAATGATTTGAAGTATTGATCATCCTTACATTGTACAAATTCCGTTATCCTCCTTTCTCTATAAAGTTCAAACCTTTCCAAATAGTGAAAACAACAAATTCAACATCACACACATTTATCAATACTAAAAAATTAATCAAAACGAAAATGAACAAACAAACTTCACTCATGTTTTGCTTTACGCTGATCTTCATTTTTGCCTTCTCTTCATCGGTTAATGCCATGCCAAAGGGAATCGAAAAAAGACAATGCACTCAAGTCACCCGCTCTTGTATAATGCAAAGCCAACAAATTCCTAATGCCAGAGTTGATTTTCAACAACAACCTGATTGTAGTGTGTTTGTCCAAGGATCTCTCGAATTTATTCCATCCGTAGTTCAGAAATCTTCTGCCTTTGGTGACTACGATCTCCACGTTGTCGTAAACACTAATAATGTAGACAAATCCGCGACCAAATACGATCTGGAAGATATTATCATTCCAAATGACGGTGGACAAGATCTTGTTAATTCGCCTTTTGCAAACGTTTTTGATGGAAGTGTGTTTCCCTCGGATTTTTTTACTGGCCCAACTCAATACTTTTGTGAAGTTGCATATGACCCAAATGGTGATGAATTTCTTGCATCTGCCCCGATTTTACCTGCACCCTAGTTGGCTGCTTTCTTTTCATATGTCTAGATTTTACCTCCAAATGCTCTATTTTGTTACATTCTTCATGTATTATATGAAATTTATTTTCTCTTCTCTTTATAATCATGACTTGTATTTATAAATTTTAGTTTGATATATGCATGTAGTATAAAAGGTGTACTTTTGCCGTTGTCAATTGAATAAAGAACGTTGTTAGTATTAACAGTTTAGTCTAGCTATATATTTATAATCAATAAGATGACGATTGAAAATGCACAAACCCCGGTTTCGGAATGGTGACAGATGAAGTGAATATCCTCTGAATGTCTCAAGAAAATTAAACGAAAATCTAAATTCACAATGATAAAATGAAAGCTTTGAATGTTGATGTTCTGACTTATGTATTTCTTCTTAAGGGAAGCTATATAAAGCTATTATATATGAAAATTCTTATGGGTATCCCCTCTTACATACTACACGTAAAAAGAATTGGCACAGGCAAATAGATTGGTAGTTTTGCACCAATTTTGAATGTTGATACTAAAATGTTGCAATAAAAATAATTCAATTTGGTCAGATGGGTTTCTACATTGCGATTTTATCGTCATTATTCCTGAATAAGGTGATTCTTAACGTTATTATCAACGTTGAGTATTGCAATTACGTACAATATTATGTGGTTTGAATTTTTTACAATGACATTTTGTTTTAATTTATTTTTTAGGTAATCAGTTCAATGTGTAGAAGTTCGTACAACATATACGAATCACATGAAAATTCGCTATCAGCTATTCGAGGTTTTACTAATTTAGAAACACATTGTTTTTAACTTTCTAAAAAGAGCTACACACACATATATATATATATATATGGATAATTAATAGGGATGGAATACGTGTACAGTACCTCCAAAAAGTATCGCCCGGTTTACGTATCTAACCATTTTTCAAAAATCAAGTTATCGAGTTTTCTTTCTTTTTGATAGTAAAAATCACGTTTTTACCCGTTATAACTTCATCAAAACTATAATTTCGTTAGGGTAAAATGACGCTCACTTATATACAGCCTAGCGAAGTTGAAAAAGGAAAGATTCTGGTATGTATGGAAACAAAAATGCCACTCAAGTCGTAAGACTGTTTGGATGTGACTCCATAATGGTATGTTGTTTTATAAACGAACAGGAAAAAGTGAAAACATATCATGTTCAGCAGTCCTTAACCACGAAAAAGATCTAGTTATAGGTAAAATCCATGAAAAGAATTTAATTATAGATGAAGCAAACTAAAATAGACATGCACCACTACGCGAATAGCTAACAATTTAAATCACACTTATAGTTTATTCACCACCGCATATATATTATACAACTCCGGACTTAATTCATATATTTGCAGCAAAGAAATCTCATATCTTAGAAGCACGTGCATATGCTCATATTAAATAATGTGAAAAAAATAGAAATAAGTGATTGAGTAAAAATAACTTTCCCCGATGAAACCGGTATTGAAGTTGGAAAGCAGTTACGATAGCCAAGAGTTTGGTGACATTCTAGAGAAAAGTTCAATATTGATTGCTTAGCTCCTAACCATAAAATGGATGAAAATCTGCAATGATTTGGAGATGCTTCACAGAAAAATTAAAAAGGACCATTAGTTTTTTGTGAGGAATATAAAAAAATGGCGAAAAAATAACTGCAAATACATAACCTTGAAATTTTAAAACTCAATTATTTTCATTCCAGAATACAATTAAAGAATTAACTGAAAGTTATGCAATTTTTTCAACAAGACAATGTACCGATTCATACTATAGGAAAATTAAGGAAAATAAAATTGCGATTATAATTGGCCGGCGAATTCTCTAGACCCGAGACCAATAGAGAACATTTGGAAGATATTAAATACAATATGAGAACTTCCAAAAACTGCAGAAGAACTTAAGGTCGCATTGGAGGTGGAGTGGAAAAATTGATATGGTCATTTTAAAACAGGTTATTACATCAATGCCATGAAGGATTAATCGCCATTGTTGCTGATTGAATATTAAATAAAATTTCTTTTTTATTTGATGTATAAATTGATGAAAATTGAATAAATAACAGAATTTTTATTTTCAAGTTTGCATCGGGCAATACTTTTTAGGGTACGAGATGAAAAAAATTTAGCGGATTTATGAATGAATTTCAACAAATTAGAAAAGAGTTATTATTATACTACATGTACATGTAATATGACAATCAAAATATAATTTTAGCCTTAATAATAAGAATATAATAAAAAAGTAATTTTCCCATATTATGTTATGTTAACATAATCTGTGAACTGCTAGTAATACTTTAGTTAAATTAACTCTTGGACGAAATTTCTTATCATAAAAATCATTCTTCCGTGATACGAATTAATATCGATATGTATACATGTGCTCCTGATTCGAAAGATGATATTTAAAGATGAATTTCTTTTTCAGAATATTGAGCAAACTATAATGTACTAATATTCATCCAGTTCTTTTAGCATTCGTTTCGATAAGAAGTCCAATCTGCGTATATCAGCAGTGATTATGCTATTATTAGTTCTGCTACATTATCATCTTCTTTCGTTATTAGCCTGAATCAATTCCGATAAATCTTTGTGTTTTCTTACAGTGGATTACTTGTGAAATGGAACATGAAAAAATTTGGTGAGATATAAATATTTCGTCATTAAAAAGTTGAGTCAAAAGTAATTTCTATTCATAATAATGATCTCATCAACTATATTGTATTTGTTCAATACCATAATTTTAAATCTGTGTTTTTCCTTTAATCATTTCATGTAGAATTATTCAATTCACGTATTAGATAACAATTCTATTGTAACTTGTTCCTGGCAAGTGGATTTCACAAAATATCGACGTAACGATATTGGGTTAGAAGAGACTATTTTAGGAGAGAGAATCTGTACAAGAGTTTCTTATTACATTTATATTAATTTTAGTTATTTTTATTATTACAGGACAATGAAAATGGATGTTCTATTATAGAAGTACCAAATTAAATAATGATTACAGATTAATGCTATATTATATAACTTGATGCTGTCCAATTAAATGATTTGTTTTATGTTGAACGTCATTTTTTTTAAACTCGGGATTTTATAATCCTAAATCCCTTAATTATTTAATCAATTATTTTCCCATTCTCCCATTTATTTGAATATGAGAGTAGACAAATATTAATATCACAAACTACATGTATTTAATATTTGTAAAACCTATTTTAACTGATTTCAAAGTGATCGTTAATTAGAATTAATAATTTAATGATTTAATCAACGGTTGTGTTGAAATTGCTTGCAGATGTGATTGACCAATAAAATCATCGAATCATGTGTAATATGGAAAATTCAAAACAAGCGAGTACACGTACATGTATAAAATATACATGTATATGGTTAAACTAATAAAACAAGTGATAGCACATCAAGTATCTTCGATTTTATGAGTATACTAATATCGAACGCGTTTATCACAAAAAAAACAATGAAACTAATAATTAAAAAATCGATGATATCAAATGTAAATTTACTTTCATTTAGAACATACTAGCGCGATATATTTAAATAACAATAAATGTGCGCACCTTTAACAATTGATATTAACTTTTGGAAAATTTTTGACTGACTTGTTTTTTGTCTAAAGCTGATAGTTTCCAGTTGGTCTGTTTCTGGCATAAGATCCATTTTTCAATAACAAATTTGCACATTCGGGAATAATATTTGGTAGCAATATTTGGTAAGATAGGTCGTACCCCTTATTATAAATACCTAATACAACCTATGAACATCTGCAAGTTTTAGTGATATGACTTTCCATTAGCACCCTCTGGACTGATATAAAGAGGTATTCCACAATTTTCTTTGCTAAGTCAAGTTGAGGTAAATTTAATTTCGCCATTAATATATTTCCAGGATGAAAGTCACGGTGTACAAACTTTTCTTTGTGAAATTTTTGCTAGTTCGAAGATAATTTTGAACCCAAATTAAGTTTTCGTAATTGGAATTGATATATTTGCGAAGGTCATCATCTTTTGCATAATCCATTACTATGCATTGATTTGTAACTGGGTCTTTTGTTATTCTATAATATTTTAGCAAGCTACCATCATCATCATTCCATAGGTGCATTTAAGAGCAGCCTGCTTATAATTTTTGAAAATTTGATTGTATTAGAAACAAAAGCTACCTTCGCCTTAAAATTTTTTTACTCCCTATATATAACACTGAAATACTGTAATTTCTTTGAATTGTATAATGATTTCAACACAACTTTGAATTCTCTTCGTCGTTCAATTTATTTCGTCATGATCCCATGATTCAAATAACCAGGATGTTTTATAAATCTTTCCAAAATTTACTTTTGCAAGATATTTTAACATTGAAAAATCGGAATCATCGTTATTAATTTGTTTGTGATAAAGAAATAGTCATCTCAGTAGTCATCTTCTTGGTATTCTTCACATTTACTAAAATTACATGTACATGTATGAGTATTTTAAATCAAACACACATCACAGTATCTATTCTCTTGATAATAATAAACTTCATTACAATATGAATATTTTGACTGCATCTTATAAAATACGGTTTTATTGATACATGAACATGAATTGCTAAAATGATAGTAAAAACGAGATTTATCATTTCGTTTCTACGCTAAGAAACAACATTAGATGCATTAAAAAAAAAAGATTGATGCATGCATTTCCATTTGAGACAACATATACGTACAGTGTGTTGCAAAAGTCTTTGGACAATCGTCGTTCAAATCAAATTGGTGTAACCGCACTCAATTTCGATCCAAACTAGACCAAATAAAAAGAGATAAGATATTTGGTACTACGAGAGTCATTTTACTTGATATTTTCTAAAAGAGCGAACGAAAATGCCGACGGCCAAGAAAAATACCCATGCCCAAACTATTGAGCATTTCTGGCTTCAGGGCAAAAATGCAGGCGAAATACATCGCCTAACAAATATTGCGAG